TTTAAAGAATTCGGAAGGAGCAAAATTGTATTACCATTTTTATTATTTCTCGGAATCCACGATTTTCTATTATTTTTATCGCTTCTAGACCGAAGTATATTTGTTGGGATTAATTCCATTTCGAGTAGAAGTGTTGGGTGAAGTATATTTTCTTGTTAGAGAGGGAAAATTTAATTACTACCTCATTAAGAATAAATTTATAATCAAAGAATAGAGTAATCAGAGCTATTATGGAATGAGTGAAAGTCGAAGCGGAGAAAAATAAAACCAAAAAATGTATGGATCTGAAAAAAATTGGCAGAGGATGAAAAGATGGCAGAAAGTTTAAATAGCTAACAAGGTGAGAAAAAAGCTTTGAAAATAAGATAGATAATGGTAGCTAAATAAGTAAAAATGTTTTGAATATATAATCGACTCAAGAAAGCAATTTAAGATAAGAGAAGGAAAGTGGAAGAGGAAGAATTCTTTGCCTGGCTTTGGGACGGAGAAGATACATACTAACTTTACTTGTCAAAACCATGCTGTGATATTTTCTGCAAGATTTACTTTAAGACCACTCTTCGCATTAACATGTCCTATCTAGCGGGTAGTAAACCACTTTGGCTTGAAGAAGACAACCAAGTCTATTCATTTAGGGATGCTAGCATCATATTTCCAGGTTTGATTAGATAAAATGACTCTTCTGTTTTTTCTTAGTCGATTCACTATTCAAGACAAATATAAATATGAGCAATTAAACAAAGTTCCTCATCCTGAGATATGAAGAACAGGACTGTGTGGCCTTGGGCTTGGTCGCCATCCCCTTTTAGCACAGAGTTGGTTCGACCGCATTTTCGCAACTTGGTCAGGGCAACAGATAAACCTTGTGGAACTTACTCAGTCCTACGTTCTCTACCATTCTATTCATGGTAATTTTCTGTCTCTGACCGTTAATTTGGTGTATTTGCAGACATTTTTTCGGCACTGTCAGTCGGAGTTGCCTTCTTTAGCAGTGAGGTAAATCTCGTCAAAGCGATTAGTGTAGACTATTCTTCTTGAACGATTTTATATTTAACCATTATGACATCTATCCTCCCCCTTGTTCTAGCGCCCAGCTTTATACCCCTATTCTTCATCTCTACTTTATATTGCCATTTCTCCTGTCTAAATCTCTGTTGACTTGATATTTTTTCATAAAGTCTCCCTGTTCACCATCCAAGTGTCGGATATGAGATCCAACCTACAAAGTTTCTCATTTTTTATAAGATCAATCATAAGACACCAGCAATCTCGCACAATATTTGCTGATAGCTAGATGAGAACTGTTGTGAGAAGCTCAATAAAAGCTCCAATGAGCTAACTACTCTTTAAGGCAAGTATATGATAGAGGCGGCTTTATTGGAAGTTATGGGGTATTATAGATACGAAGAGTAACTGGGTTTGGGGGAATCTCTTGAGTTAACATTGTTGAGGAACTTTCATTTCGTATGAACTTGAATTAAGACCAGATTCTTAGGTGGATATCACCACAAGAGTGAAGTCTCGTGTACTGCGTCAACCTGAATGTCGTATTAAGTCCAAACGACAATCACCGTCGTCTTCTGGTGAGATAAACCTACGAATCTCTTTTTCAATCAATTTTATACGAAATGAAGTTCTCCTTAACGTATGGAAGATTATGAAGCAAAACTGGGTTTAGAAGAATTCCTTAGGAAAAGTTGGTTGGAATGAATGTGTGAAGGAGGATTGGTGCTTAAGGAAGACGGCTGAATTATGCGAAGAAATCCTTGGCTCACCGTTCTGCGACCCTGATTAGACTGTGCTAAGCTTTTGTCTGTACTGTGGCAGACATAACTATAAAAAAGCAACTATGGCTGAATCCGGCCACCTATTCTCTTAGTTTGGTTTATTTTTGCTCTATTTCGTGAAGTATGGATACCTGCTCTGGTGATGCCTGTCACAGTACAGACGAAAGCTTAGCACAGTCTCATCAGGATCGCAGGACGATGAGTCAAGGTCTTCTTCGCACTATTCAACATTCTTCCTTACGCAACAATCCTCCTTCGGTTTTCGGTGAAACCACATCATGAATTCCTTTCAACCTACTTTTTCTTTTAAATGGAAAGTCATGTCACAATATGGGAGATTATTTACAGTGAGGTCTGTTGATTCCTCTTCGTCAACTACCCGAATCATGTCCTGATCTTGCTTTAATGCTTCGGCAAATCTACGGTCGACAATAGATCACTAGAAATATGAAAGTATATGAAGTATATGAAATACTTCAGATTTCACTAACTCTTCAATCAATTTACTCGTTTGTCCTCGAAGGTCTTCTACCCTTCAGATCAAGGTACAAGTATTAAAGGTACTCTTTCTCGAAGTACCTTCATCCAAGCTCAAATTTATGGCGAAGTTATGAAGACCAAGATGGTGTGGTCTTTTGTGAGGTCGCAGTCTCCTTTCGTTGTACAAAATTGTTTGACCTTGTTTTCGCAACTACATCACACTATATCGAAATAATCACGGTAAAAAATTGTGTCAGTGAAGGCGTGATACGAGGATATGGGAAATGTGAATAGCCCAGGACAGGAGAGATATCACAACTGTCTAGCCCACTTTGTCTCTTTAACGAGTTGTAGTATGGTGCTAAGAATGGCAAAACTCACTGAAGGTGCCGACTACGATGCCGGCGAAACGTCTGAGTATGTACAACGTCCATGGTCCGACTTTGGAAATTATCATGCATACAATGGACGCTGGACTAGATGCGTTCCTCCAAGTCTTCCTACCAATATGACCAGTTGCGAGAACAAGGCCAAACAACTTCTATCAAATTTATGGTGTTGGAAACACGGGAGATTTGGTTCCCACGCCTGTGGCCTTGCCCTCGTGTAGCCTTGGCGTCGAGATCATAAGAACTTCGAGACGCACCAAGAAATTTATTGCCTAGCTGGTTCCTTTTTGGTCACTATCAATCTAGTCCTAGTCAATATATATGGCACTAGTAGTGTATCCACCGCGTTTAACTTCAAAAGGTTCCTTAAACGGGCTTTCATCTTAGCTTCGCCGTCCTGAGTAGTGATTTTCTGGGATATGATTACCTCCGTCTCGACATAGTTAAGTGTGAATGAGTTGATGATATCGTTATCATTCGCTGGAGTCAAGAGGTTTGAGGTCATTAGCATATTCGAGGGAGAGAGCCTCTTAGTCAGTTTGCCAATGCGTTGACTGTATGTGCAAGTGTTCGCTTTTTCTCACAAATAAATAGAAATTGTGGCTACAAAGGGTAAATTCTCGAAAGGGCTTTGAAATGGTGGTAGAAGCACCGTGAGTTGGGGGGTGGAGCACTTACGATGTCAAGTTATAAGGGAAATTCTGATTGATCAAGACCCAAAATGTCTATAGTTCACAAGCCACTTAAGTGCGAGGATGGCAGTCTGAGCAAACGAATGAGGTGAATTTCACACTCATAGCAATTGAAATTAATCAATGGCCCTATTTGGTCTCTATGACAAACCGAAGTGGACATAATATAGTATATTCTACCTAAATGTAATGGAGTTATTAGCTCTGATAAATGCTGACATACCTATAATTTCGTTTGAAAAGGCTGGTGGAAAAGATATGCAAATCGGACACCAATAGAGGGTTGCCTTGGATTTGCAACAGTTAGATTGGGCCAAGAGGACCTCAGCTCACCGTCATTCTGAGCTTTCGTGCTTCATCTGACAGATATCGTCAAAGCCAAAAAGTATTATATACGAACAATCACCAAAAAACACTAAACCAAGAAAGGTGGTTAGCTGAAATTCTACTCAATTCTTATACCTCACATTGTGATCTTAATGAAGCTTTTCATGATTTTGTTGCTATTAGGTGCTTGTCCTACACGTATGTATGTGAGTCAAATAAATGCAGGAAGTGAAGTGGATGTTGTCACAGCTTTTCTTCGTGAAAGTAGACTAGCGTATGATCTTGTAATACTGAGCCTTGCTTTAGCTTTGTGATGATACTTCGTAAATAATGGTTTCTGACTCTGACGAATCCGTCACAGTGCAAGCTTAGCATGGATTGCTCGTAATCGCAGAACGCTGGGCCGAGGTCTTCTTCGCATATTCTAACTGTTGCAAATCCAAGCCGACCCTCCTTCGATATCCAATGTATCCCTTCCACACGTCTTTTCAAGCGAAATGAAAGATGTGCCAGCATCAATCTACTAAGGGCTTCTTTGAAGCCCGGCTTCTCTTCATATCTCCGATCAAGGCACCATGCTTCTAAGTCTAGGCTACACCTTTTAGGTAAGTCTACGAATGAGGCTGGCAGTTTAACTTCTTTCTTTAGGTAAAGCCTTTAATTTTTAGTGAAATGTTAGGTGCAATAGGGAGCGGCAGTTAAATTATTTTTGTGGTATAACAATTTCTAATTATATTGATATTGGAGTTGTAGCGACTCTTACATAAATATTTGTTTGAAAACTATCAATTATTCTAGGCTAAGAACTTAATTACAGGTTGCTTGAGGCAATTCAAGAGCTTACTTGGGTTCTTCCAAAAGTTCTAGGAATAGGCCTTAATATTTCATTGAATTTCACTTAACATTGCCTTATCAAAGGTTTGCTTATCTAGGCTTGTCTGTAGCTCTTACTTCGTGTATTTTTGATTAACACAATAATCTTTACTCCCCTCACTTCAGGCCATGTTTCGCGGACACATTGTACGTCATGCTCTTCCCCAGCTCTATTTAGAGCTGTCCAAGCATCGTGCAGCTTGTCGCATCCAAAAGGCCTTTCGGCGATACTTATCAAGGCAACATTGCCTTGCCATGCAGTCACGTTCGCATCAATTCCCTACTCGGTCTACCGGTCAGTCCCAGAGACCAATTGGAAAAGAAAGAGACCAGTTGTTGCAAGTGAGTTCACCAGAAAGAAGAAGGAGCAGATGATAATTTAATT